GCCCTGTGTCTCTCAGGCAAACTCTGGACAGCACCTGCTAGGAGAAAGTAGCAGTCAAGTCCTACGTAGCTCCAGGCTGTGGCTCCTTTGAAGGAGCTGTCACGCTTCAGTCGGAGACCTCAGGAGCAGGTTTCCTATTTGCCCATGCAGGAGGCTGTTGAAGCCACCCAGGGAGGAGCTGGAGCTCAGCCCAGGCCCCACTCTTCTAGCCTTTGGGGCTGAAGGAGCAAGAGAGGAGAGCTCCCTCCCTCTACACTGCCTCTGGCCTGCCTGGCCAGGAAGCTGCACAAGGCTTGCTTGTTTGGAGGTCACCCCAGAAGCTCTGGCCTGAAAACCTCTGCTTCTACTGCCTTCCCAGCTCCTCCCCTAGGAAAAACCAGAAACTTGATATTATCAGTAATGAAAGCCAGCCTGGCATCCTAGAAATTACTTCAAAATGGCTTCAAACAGCCTGATGGGAGGGACATAGCTACTCTGTCTCCCTGAGCTGACACGCCCCGCCCAGCCACAATGGCCTGCTTTGTGAAAGCACCCTCCCTGTCCCCTGTCCCCACCTTTGTGGTCTCCTTTGCAGGTACATTCGCTGCCAGAAGGAGGTGGGGAAGAGCTTTGAGCGGCATAAACTGAAGCGGCAGGATGCAGATGCCTGGTAAAGTCCAGCCCTCTCCCCTAGAACCTGTCAGGAGCTGACTCCGCCAGCCCCGCTGTGAACTCTCCCCTACCCTTGGAGCAGGATGGGCCCGAATGACCTACCAGGACCCCCCCCCCCCATAATTTCTAAGTTACTTTAGCCCAGAAATGCCTGGGCTCAACATCTTGTCTTCATCTCCTAGCACATACTTCAGGGCCAGCTTCTAGGACCCACTGCTGCCAGCTGCCTGTTTCCTCTTGTTCCCTGGCGCTCTCCCAGTCTCTGGCTTGCCCTGTCCCCTGGAGATTTTTATATTCAGATTATGGTCATGCCTGGTCTTGTTTCCTGTACTCCCATTCTCAGGACTCTATATAAGATCCTGGACAGCTGCAGACAGCTAACCCTGGCCCAAGGAGCAGGGGAAGAGGACCCAAGTGGCATGGTGACCATCATCACAGGTCTTCATTTGGACAACCCCAGCACGCTCTCTGGGCCCATGCAGGTGGGTCGTGGGTGAGGTGAGGAGTGCAGTCTCTAAGGGGTCTAAGAGAGGAGTCATCATGACACACACACACACACACACACACAAACACACACACACACACACACACACACACACACACCAGCTGCCCTTTTCCCACCATTACCCCTTCCCCAGCCCTACTGCTTGAGGTTGGGCCCTCCCTCATCTTCCTCCCTCCATCTGTCATCCCTCAGGCTGCCCTGCAAGCTGCTGCCCATGCCAGTGTGGATGTCAAGAATGTTGTGGACTTCTACAGGCAGTGGAAGGAGATTGGTTGAGACTGGCCCGCAGGCCCTGCAGTGGGGCTGACTCCAGATTTCTCCTGTTCTCCCTGGCGACCAGGACTACCACCTGTAGTCACCCCACCACATGCAGACTCAAGCATGCAAACAGGAAGGATGGCCAGCTGCACTGAGTCTGCAGGGAGGGCCCAGGAGCCAGCTGGGAGGATGGGGGCCCCTGTTGCCAAGGCGAAATCAGGGAAGTGAGGAAGTGCTTGGAGTAGGAGTGGCCTGTGGACCCTTGGCCAGCCTTCCACCTAACACCCCTGCTGTCCCAAGGGGTAGGGGCAGGAGCAGGCATGGGTGTCTGCATTTCACTGGAGCAGTTCCTGGACTTCTGAGAGGAAAGGACACCAGAGGGCCCTGTCCTCACCCAAGATACAGTGTGGGCGGGGCAGGGAGTTTGGGCCCCTGGCTCTCAGGGAAGAGTTTGGGTGATAATGTCTGCATGGTTCTCTGCAGACCCTGCCAATCCCCAAGAACCCTCCACCCTGGATTATCTCCCATCGGGGACAGGGCAGCTCTGGAGCCAGCTGTGGTGTTTCATAGGGAAGGAAACAGGGCCTGAAATGTCCTCCACCACAGAGCAGCGGCTGCACGTACTTCTCCGCTGCTGCCCAGCTTCCAGGCCCACTTAGGGTGTGAGGGGCTGACTCTGCCAGCAGTCATCCTTTCCCCAGCAGTTCACGGCCACTGTACTCTGTGCTCTTGGCTGCTGTGCCAGTGAGGGAGGGAAGGCCAGGGCCACCTCTCACCACCCTGGGAGGGCTGGAGGAAAGTGGCAGAGAGGCAAGATCCTGGAAGCTACTTACACAGGGCCCTCTGCCCTGAACTACCCTCCCTTTGCCTGTCTCCAGGACTGGAGCCCTGGTGGGCTAAGCACGGGCTGGCTTTGGAGTGGCAAGTGACACGGGAGCAGAGATCATGAATAGCTCGGGGGCAGAATGGCACCCTGAGAGCAGAGAGCTATAGGGGAGGCTCTGGCCACGGCTATCCCAGTCCACCCCTCAGCCTGGAAGCAGAGCATAGCTGGGGCTGGGTTCTTTTCTGCTTCCCCCCTCCTTGTCCCAACTGGCCTAGCTGCTTTGGCTGTGCTTAGAGGAGCTGGCTTCCTGCCTTCCACTAACAGGGTCTGGGAAAACCAGGGGATGGTTGGGGTTATCCCATTTCCAATTCTGGCAGACTTGAGACTCAAGCATCACTTAATAAAGACCCCCTCCCCCCAGCCCTCTCTGTGTACTGTGCCTTCTGTACATGATCCTAGGGGTGTGGGGTGGAACCTTATGTGTGCAGAAGTGCTCTACTGCTAGAAAATGACAGGCCTTTTCAGTGAGAAAACACTCTGCACACTTTGGACAGAAGGAAAGCTCTTAAGCACCCAGCCTTCAAATACGAGTCTACCTTGATGTGCCTAGGGAGATGGCTTAGTGGCTACAAATACTTACTTTTTGCAGAAGACCTGAGTTCAAGTTCTAGCTCTCACATGGTGGCTCACAGCCATCCATACTCCAGTTCCCAGGGATCTGATTTCTTATTACACTTCAGACTTTCACAGACATCGGGCACACATGGTGTGGATTCATCCAGATAAACACTCGAACACACACAAAACTGACCTTTAACAGATTTTACTGACATATTCTTTACACTTATTCATGTCACTGTCACCCTTTCAGGCCCTAGCCCCAGGTTGCATTTAATTTAAACAGAAACAGGAGACTGCAAGTCTAACCATTTAAGCAGATAGATTCATATAGCAAAGATCGTACAAGAATTTAAATACATAGGTGGTTTTGTGTTTGGTTGGTTGGTTGGTTGGTTGGTTTCTCTGCATACTCCTGGCTGATCTGGAATTCTCTGTTGACCAGGCTGGCCTCAAACTCAGAGATCCCTGCCTACCTTGGCCTCCCAAATGATGAGATTAAAGGCATAGGCTACTATACCTGGCCAGTGGTTTTGTTTCATTGTTTCTTTTAGTAGTTATTACCCAGGGTCCTGGCCACCTGGCAGAATTACCTTTTTCCTGATAAGAACATAGACTTGATGGCAGACCTGTACTTAATGACACTTGTGACCCTGTTATTGCCCTAAACACCTTGTAAGAAGTTTGCCTTTGGTTGGCCACAATATGTCCCTATCTTCTTTGTCATGAGAATCAGAGCCGAATGGCTAGTTCTCTTGAAGAGTAGACATTTATTACATCCGAGCATCCACTTTAACAGGCTTGGTTAGAATACTACCTACCTTTGGGGTATTTTGGAGACAGTCCTCTTTTAGCTAAATTATATTCATTTGACCTAATGTCTCCTAAGCTAATGGATTAGTAAGTCCTTCTATCTCTGAATCTCTTCCACACCAGTACCACTGACCTGTATCACTACCACCTGTGGTTTAGAGAGTCCCAGGAAACTCAGACTTCCAAATTGTGTGTAACTAACCTGGCCTTGGACTTTGGTGGTTCCTTCCATATCTCGGCTGAGATCACAGAAGCGTGGTGATCATTTCTGGTTTACAGAACAGTGTTTGGTGAAATCTACCTGGACCTAGCTTGGTGTTCCCCAGCTGGGTGGTGTACTCCAGGAGAAATAAGGAATGAGGCTTTCCGCCTACCCTCCTGGGTTGGTCACTCAAAAATTGTGTCAAGGTAAACCAGGTAAATTGTGTCCTCAGGTGGGCCAACATTCATCAAAAGCAAAGCAGGGATGGCTTATGAGATGAAGCTGAAATTGGTTTTGGAGCCTCCTGCTTAGCAACCTCAGAGCCTGGAAGGCTTGGACCAGGTGTTCTGGTCAGAGATTAGATCCCAGCTTGGGCCCCTAGCCTGGTCAAGACAGCAGTGAAGTGGGCCCAGACACGCTGTAGGCCTGGTGGTGTGTAGGAGGCCAAGTGAGCTGCCTGCTAATGGGGCTGGGTCACCCCGTGCTACTCCAGGACTGGCAGACAAAGCTAAGATTGTTCCCCAGCTTCTGTCTCTGCCATTCTGCCTGGCCTGGCCCACATCCCCAGCCATTCTTTTCCCCATCAATCTGACCAGCAGAAACCAGACTGCCTGTGGAGTCCAGTCAGCCTAGCTGGTAGCGTGGTCAGTCTCTGGGATAACTCAGTTCACATCTGAGGAAATGGAAATGAAGCATCGGCCCAGCCTTGGGGCCTTGGCATTCCTTGCTGCTGCGGAGATCTCCAGACACTATTGCCTAGGGCTGATGGACCCCTCCCAGTATCGTCTCAGCCCATCCCAAGGGAGCGGGGCAGCAGTCAGGACAGGCACTTCTCCTACATCGCCTCTTCACTTGGGATGAAGGGTCTGGGGACCAGGTTTGTGTTGTCAAGCTGGGCAAGATCTTCAGCACCGAATTCAGAGAACAAACTAAACAGATCATAGATCATTGCAAGACTCCGGGACGGGCGGGGCTGACAGCAGGAAGGGAGGAAGTTTTAGCCTGGGGCAGGGGGAAGGGTCCTATCAGTCTAGGTCAGTGGCTCCGCCCACTGCGTTAGCCCCGCCCCCGCCGGTGCCAAGGAATGTGCTGGGCGAGGCGGCCGAGAGGCGGGCGGGCCAAGCGGAGCCAAGGCCACCCGGACGCAGCGCACAGGTCTGGGCTGAGGGGCATGGGACCCAGGAGGGGCAGGGGTCCCAAGTGCCCTTAAGGGCGCAAGTGGTGTCCTTCGAGAAGAGGAGAGCATCCTCTAATTCCTTGCCCTTCTCAAGCAATTTCCCCGAGGGCACTAATTTTGTGTGTGGAGGTTTCTGTCCCCCGGGGGAAGGAGGCGACTCCTGAAGCCAGGGTTCTGGTTGAGGGCCAAACCGGAGGCAGCCTGGCTGCTGGGGGTCCCTTACTGCACTCCCACTCTGGCGGAGGCTGAGGATCTCTCCTGCGTGACTGGATGCCCAAGGCTAGGGCCCGGAGGGAAAGGGGAAACAGTTGTGGTCAGCATTGTGTGAGAGTCCACCCTGGTCTCAGTGGCAGAGTCTATCCTGAATCTGGCAGCAGGAACCCTGTGGATGGGCGCCAATTCCTGACCTGCTCCTGTTCTGTCTCCAGGCCAACGTGGAGGTACCTGGCCACTATGCTCAGTCTCAAGCTGCCTCAACTTCTTCGAGTCCACCAGGTTCCGCGGGTGAGGGGTTCTAACCCAGAGGACTCACTCACTGGGGCAGAGATTTTTCTCTTGTTAGCTATCAGAGAAGTTTCTCCTGCAAGCTAACTTTCTTATCTTTCTATTGCAGTATAGAACCTGCTATCCCTCCCCAAAGGCCCAAATATCCCTCCATCCAGAGTCCCCCTTCTGCAGAACACCCTGTGTGTTTTCCCTCATTCTATCTGATCCCATTATGGTTCTGTGGGTTTGGAAGACTGGTAAGAACGGGATTGGACTAAGTTTGGCTTGGGACCACTGTGATCTCCAGCGCATCTTCTATCCTGTTTACAGACACTTTTGTTTTTATATTTCTAGACAGGGTTTCTCTGTGTATGCAGCCCTGGTTTTGCCGGAGCTCATTCTGTAGAACAGGCTGACCTTGAACCCAGAGATCCTGCCTGTCCCTGCCTCCTGAGTGCTGAGGTTAAAGGCAGTGCTACCATACACTTTTCATGCAGAGGAAAGCTCTGCATACCATGACTCCTCTGCTCTCTCCCCTACCACTCCCAGGTGTTCTGGGAAGACAGCATCATGTCTGGCTATCGACGCCCCACAAGCTCAGCCTTAGACTGTGTCCTCAGCTCCTTCCAGATGACCAATGAGACGGTCAATATCTGGACTCACTTCCTGCCAACCTGGTGAATGAAGGCTCTGCCTTAGGTTCAGATGGGGTGCCAGCCAGGCGGGCAGGGACTGGCCAGACACTGGCCCCAACATCTGAGCAGGTGCCTGGCACAGGTACTTCCTATGGCGCCTCCTGGCGTTGGGCAGCCCGGGGTTCCGCGCGGAGCCATACCACCTGCCGTTGCTGGTCTTCCTACTGCCGGCCTGCCTCTACCCCTTCGCATCCTGCTGTGCGCACACCTTTAGTTCCATGTCGCCCCGTGCACGCCACATCTGCTACTTCCTGGACTATGGGGCGCTCAGTCTCTACAGCCTGGGTGAGCTGAAGGGCAGTGGGTGATGGTGGGGCGCAGAGGGCAAGCCCACAGACCTCAGCTTGCACCTCGCCACAGGCTGCGCCTTCCCCTATGCTGCCTACTCCATGCCGGCCTCCTGGCTGCACAGCCGCCTGCACCAGTTCTTCGTGCCAACCGCTGCGCTCAACTCCTTCGTGTGCACCAGCCTCTCCTGCTACTCGCGGTGGGTTCTGGGCCTCCCCAGTGTCGGAAAGGGTAGGCAGGCAGGGCTGGCTGTCAGGGTTACTACATTGCTCTTGAGCCACCCCAGTGCCCTATCCAGTAGGAGGCCAGTGTGCTGTCCTGGAAAGGCAGTTGTTTTTACATTTACACGGGGCCTGGATCCTGTACCCTGAGGGCCTTCTCTTTTATTTTTGTATTACATATAAACGTGTGTGTTTACCACACCTGCCGAGTTGCCGAGTTGTCTCACCAGCCCCTATTCCTTTTCCCACCATCTCTCCCTTCTTTCCTTTTATTTATTTTTCTTTCTTTCTTTTTTTCTTTTCTTTTTTTTTTTTTTTTTTTTTTTTTTTTTTTGACCAGGCTGGCCTCAAATTCAGAGATTCCCTGTCTTTGCCTCCCAAGTGCTGGGACCAAAGGCCAGCACCACCACAGCCCTGAGACAGGGTCTTGAACTATATGACTGATCTTCCCACTCAGCACACCTGCTTCCTGATGCTCTCTTAGCCACTGAGGGCCTTTATCCCCTTTGATCCAAGGTAGCTTCTTGACCTGTACTCACCTCAGGGATGGAGACCAACCTGCTTTTCTTGCCCGTCAGGTTCCCAGAGCTAGAAAGCCCCAGGTTCAGCAAGGGTCTCCGCGCAGCCGCCTTTGCCTACCCCTTCTTGTTTGACAACCTCCCACTGTTCTACAGGGTAAGGGTACCAGGGCTCTCCTCAGACCCTGCTCTGCCTACCATCTTGACCTCATGGTGTTCCTCAGTCTCTAGCCTCGGCTCTCTGCCTACTCTCCAGGCGCAGGACCCGTGTGCCCAGCACCTGAGCACCCCTGCCCCTGGCAGATCTTAGGTGTACCCCTAGTCTCCCAGGTACATTCTCTTGACAGCTCTTTTCTTTTCCCAGCTGCAGCTGTGTTGGGGCAGGGCCCCCAGCTGTGAGCAGGAGGCACTGAGCTCCAGCCACACCTACCACCTCCTCTGTGCTCTGCTCACAGGCTTCCTTTTTGCAGCCCACCTGCCAGAGCGCCTGGCACCTGGGCGCTTTGACTATATTGGTGAGCACAAGCCTGGCTCAGGCTGCCCTGGCAGAGCAGGAAGACTGCTTCCTCAAAAGTGCAGAGTGGGCCGGGAACATGGGGTATCCTACCCTGAGGGTGGATGATAAAGCCAAGAGGGATAGCCCAGCCCAGCCCTCAGTAATCACAGAATTTAGGGCTTATACAACTTGGTCCAGTCACTCTTCCAGAACCTTTAGGGATCTGGTTTTCTCCTTCCCAGGCCTGACCACAGGTGACTGCCCCAGGCTACAGGTGAAACTGTTCAGAACTGGGATGGGTCTCTGCCTAACCACTCCATCCTTCCTTCAGGCCATAGCCACCAGCTGTTCCACATCTGTGCCGTGCTGGGCACCCACTTCCAGTTGGAAGCAGTGCTGGCTGACATGGGATCCCGCAGAGCCTGGCTGGCCATGCAAGAGCCCACCCTTGGCTTGGAGGCCACCATGGCCACATTGAGCCTGGCAGTGATCGGGAACCTGCTCATCCTCGCTGCTTTCACGGCCTTTCTGCTGCGGATCCCTGGAACCCACCCTCTGCTGCAGGGTGGCCCGCTAGAAGAGGGGCTCCAGGCTAAACAACAGTGAGGCCCATCCCTGGTACTGGCATGGAGGGAGGCCGAGGCCATTCTGAGCCTCAAAGGAGTGGCTGAAGAGAAGAGGAAGTCTAGGGGACTGGTAGAAGGACAGAGGACCCAAGAGTGAAGGCCAGTAAGTGGAGGCAGGTACCCAGGCTGCAGCAGAGTTGGAGGTGGGGGGGGGGCCTCTCGCATGACCTCACCCTGCTGCTCTGGAATCTGCCTGGGATCCAGACCACCCATCTGCCCTGCCCCAGGGCCAGACTGTGCCACTTGTCAGCAACTGTGTGTCCACACACGAGCTGCCTGTCCTGCTCACCATTGTGACTGGGCCTTTACTGGTTCCTATGTTTGCGTGTGTGATGTAATGGACATGGTGGGGGTCACTGTGGGGAGGGGGGCTGCTGGACTTTAGGAAGCCACCCCCAGTACTATCCATAACAAAGCAATATAATAAACTGGGCTGCAGCCTTCTGGGATTGAGTGTGAAGCATTCCCCCACCCCTAACCCACCACCTTTACCCCCACAATAGACAGACTCGAGCCCAATTACTCGTCTGGACTTTATTTTGGATGGGCTGTGTCACTTGCAGGGCAGAGAGAGGGAGTAGGGAGGGTCGAGTCCTGGAGAGTAGCTGAAGCTGAGGCTGCCAAATGGCCCCGGGCAACACATGCCCTAAGGATTGGTACCGTAGAAGCGGCTGTAGGCATCTTGGAAGCCGATATGGTCCGCTAGCTCATCACAATTGGGGTTGAGCTCACACACCTCCCTCTTGGGCTCCAGGGGATCTGGGTAGGGGGCTGGGGCTCTGAGAAACACCATACAGCAGCATCAACCAACACGGGGTATGCATCCATCCCCTCTGACCACTGTACAAGAGGCGCCAGGCTCTGGGCATTGGGGGATGGACCTGCACTCCCAGCCCGTAGCAGTTCATGAAGGCCACCCCAGCATAACTCCTCCCTGCCAATATGGAAGGCGGATAACCCTGGCCCAGCACCTCCTTCCCACTTACCCAAGCCCTTGGTCCAGGTAGCGCCGGAGTCTATTCATTACCTTACTGCCATCTTGCTTGGACACAAAGGCTGTGGAGCAGAGGGACAGGATCAGGTGAACCTTGGTTTGGGAGGAAAGATGGGACAGCCAGGCAGAACACAGAGGGAGCTGGGGGCTTCGGGGACCGGGTGAGGGGCAGGGCTGAGGCTACCAGTACCTTTGTCAGACTCTGAGTCACTGGGCTTTGCATCTATAAAGGAAACTGTGCAGTTAGCTCTGCTCTCTCCCAATCCTGCTTCCCCTCCCCTCTGCCTTCCCAAAGCAGATCCCAGAACCTTCAGGAGTGTAGTTACCCACAGGGATGAACAAGGAGGGCACGCACCTGCTGGGCCAGAGACGCAGAGTGCAGCCAGGGCCAGCAGAATGAGCAGAGAGAGAGTCCTCATGGTGTCTGCCAACTCTGCACCAGGATGCTGTGTGGGACTTGTCTGCTCTGCACCCTTCAGCCTCCAGTACCATTTATATCCACTGCCTGCGCCCCCAGTGTGAGCAGGCGGGGCAGGGGATGCTGCCAGGGCTAATTGGGGGTCATGTGCCCTGGCTCAGTAGGTCAAACCCAAAGGATGCTGTGGTCGGGGCTTGCAGCTTCCTGGGCAAGGCCCTGGGAGTGGAGTGTGGGCCACAATCAGAGGCTGCAGACTCTGACACTGCTCCACCGCCCCCAGTCTCTCTCTTTCTCAGGCTCAGCTGGAGCACTGGCTGGGCTCCATTGGTACCCTAGAGATGGTGCAGAGGTCTAAAATAGGTTTGGGACGAACTGGGCTTCAGATCTCATAGCCTGTGATTTTCAATGTCTGCCACGAGGGCAGAAGCCAAACCCTAGGGAAGGAGTGGCCAGTAATGTCCTCGTTTGCCCAGTGCAGGACAGCTCAGCTCAAGTGGGAGAAAGGGTGGGGGTAGTGTTCTGGTTACTCTTGAAAGGAAGCCTCAACTGAGACAATGCCTTTATAAGATCTGGCTGTAGTGCATTTCTCAATTAGTAATCAATGGGGAAGGGCCCAGCCCATGGTGGGTAGCACCATCACTGGCCGGTGGCCCAGGTCCTATAAGAAAGCAGGCTGAGCAAGCCATGTGGAAGAAGCCAGGAAGCAGCATCCTCCATGGCCTCTGTATCAGCTCCTGCCTCCAGGTTCCTGCCCTGACTTCCTTTGATGAACAGCGATGTTGAAGCATGAGCCAAACATACCCTTTCCTCCTCAAGCTGCTTTGGTCATTGTGTTTTATCACAGTAATTAGTAACCCTAACTAGGACAGGTAGTAGGGAACCGAGAGCCAAAGCCTCACAGACTTAGGCTGACAAAGGTGAGGACTGCTTCTTCAATTCTGGCAGTCCCAAACACGAACCAGCGAGGTGGACAGACCTGTAAGACGCACAGGGGCGGAGTGCAAGGCCAGGCAGGTCCTGACCCTGCTGTTTCCACCCTGCCAACCTCAGACAGGGCCTGCTCCCTGGCGGGTAACAGAAAGACCTGTCTTCACAGGACAGAGCATCCTAGCCTAACCTGTGCCCCATCTGAGAGCTTCCACTGCCTCCCAGCCTGGGTTGGGGTGGAGGTGGGGAATGAGAAGGTGGCCTGGTATTGTGATCTGTCTGACCTCAAATTCAGCGGTCCGCCTGCCTCTGCCTCCAGAGTGCTGGGATTAAAGACGTGCTACACCCACACACCTGGCCCTCACCTGCCTTTGATCACCTAACCACCATCTCGAATTGAGAATGGTGACAAGAGGCAGTACAGGATGACTTGGGCCAGATAAGCAGGAAGCAGAGTGCCCAGGCTCAGCTATGGGGGAGGGGCAGTGCACAGGTTCCTCAGACAGATCCACACAAGCAGCCCTCAGGTTAAGGTGAGGCTCTGGGGCAGGAGAGATGTCTGTCCCTCCCCGTGGTGGGGCTGGGCTGGGGAAGTGTCAAGTGGGAGAAACGAGGTCATGAGTTCAATTATCCTAGAGGCCTCAACACATTATCTGCTCCAAAGAGCAGCACAGGGCGGCCCTGGCTACAGTGACAGCTCATCCTGTCTGGGGAAACCCAATGTTCCTGGGTCCTGCTGTGGTCTTTATGGGGTGATCAAAACAACCCAACCCTTGGCCTGTAGGCTTCCAGAGCTCTCAGATTGATGTCTTGACTGCAGACAGAGCTCAGGAGCCCAGAAGTGCTCCTGACCCCAGACGCCTGGCGAGGAAACATCCTCACAGATTACAGTGTGGTAGAGGAAGTTTATTTACAGATGTGGGGAGAACATGGCAAGGGCCCTTGGGCTAGCCTGCAAGGCAGCAATCAGTGCATACTGGAAACACTATCCCCAGTCCGGTCCAGGGAGGTCTGGTGAACCGGGAGGGTGTGGAGGCAACGCCAGCTGCAGCCCCAGGAGACAAAGCCTGGTGTCTGATGCCCAGGGTGGGAGCGCCAGTCCTGCAGGCAGAAGATGGTGGCGTGAGTCTGAAGGTGGTGTGTGGGTGACCCCACCAGGACCTAAGCAGTGGGGGTAGGGAACTGGCTCCACAGGACCTCCACAGGACCCCCGCTGCGACTGCCGTCTGCTCTGGGCCCAGTGCTCCTCACTCAGGTGCCCTCAGCACTGACAGCAGCTCCTTCTGCTCTCTGTGAAGAGCCTGAAACCAAAGATGAGAACAGATGTGCAGGGCATGAGAGAAGCAAGCCTCGTGCGCCAGGCCCCTTTCCGGGGTCTTGGCAGGATGTGACTGGACACAGACAAGTGGGAAATTCCCACCACCCAGTAGGTATTTATGGCCATCTGGATGCCCAAGCCACCCCTGCTGGGCCTCTCCAGAGTGGAATCCATGTTCAACAAGGACTCCCAAGCAGCTCAGCTCCCTTGCCTTCACCGGAGTGAAAGTGGAACCCAGGGCATGCTGGGTAATGCTCAATCACTGCGCACTGAGGCTCCCGCACAGGGTCAGCTGTGAACATCTGATCCAGCTACTGCACTTCAGACAAGGCCAGGATGGAAGCTGGGTTGGAGCTGTGGCTATGGGAGCAGAGCTTACAGGTTCGGGGACCATGGCTTGGACATCTGTTGTCCAGGGAGATGGGAGTGCTAAGGAGCCCTCTGGAGATGCAGGGGCTGAAGATCCCGAAGGTGGCTCCAAGTACCTAAACACCAGCACTGGGAGACTGGAGAGGATGGGGCCAGGCCTTCCCTCCGCTGACTGTCTGTGACCAGGGCAGGCTGTGGAGGAAGCCAGAAGGGACCTGGGAGCCGAGACCTCTGAAGCAGGGCGACCTGCCTCAGAAAGGGGCTATGCACTGTCCACTGTATTAGGCACAGACTGGGCATCTGTATTGCAGTTGAAGAGGACTAGCAGCAACGCTGCCACTCGGGCCCTCCCGAGACCCTGAGAACCACATCTGAGCCACTAAGAAGTGACCTCACCTCTCCAGTCACATCTACCACCTGCACCACAGCTCACTACCTCAAAAGTCCCTTGGGACCAATTTCAGAGTTGACTTCTCACTCAAGGGATACACACTTGTTGGCACTTGCTTCCAAGCACCTGAGACTCTGCAGCCTTTTTTCTTTCTTTTTTAAGTGTGCATAGAGCCCAGAAGAGGGTGACAGATCCTTTGCTACTAGAGCTATGACAGTTGTGAGCTACCATATAAGTGACAGAACTGAAACCCCTGCCCTGGAGAACAACTCCTTAACCCCTGGGGTCCTTCTGACGCATGCCGTGCCCGCACTCAGCAGCAGCTGCACCCCTGGCCTGAGTGTGGACTCCACCTGGACCCAGGCCAGGCTCTCCCGTCTCTGCTTGCATCCACTTAGCACAGGATGGTGTGCTGGGACTTAAACACAAGCACTGAGGAGCCGACCTGAGTCAGCACTGCTATGGGCACAGTCTGCTCCCATGGGATCCCTTCCGCTGGGAGAGAGGAAGCCACCAACCCATGGGGCCTGAGACACGTTGAGAAAACAGGCAGAGCCGAGCACTTGCCTGCCATGCCTGCTGGAGGGCCCGGACCTGCTGCTGCATTTCCTCCACCTGTCTGCGCCCGGCCAGAACAGCACCAGCCAGTTCCTCATTCTTGGCCTCCTGCTTCTGCACTCGGCGGCTCAGGGTGTCCCGTTGCTGCAGGAAGTAGGGTGCCATGACACTGCACAGGTCTTTCTCTGGGATCCCACTAGGTCGCCTGGGGGAGAAGGCACATGGTTCCCAGGGGACAGGGAGGGAGGACCTGTAAGTGCACAGGGGGCTTCTACCTCTAAACCCAACCAGGAACAAGTCAAGTCCTGAGCTTAGGGCTAGGATGCTCCTGGGATCCCTTTTCCCTCCCAAGCCTGCCCCTGATGGGAACTCTGGCTTCCTGACCCTCAGCCTCCCTGCCTAAGGCACACCCCAGGCCTCCTCACTCAGCTTCCCATAAAGCCTGCTCCTCTACGCACTCATCCATCTCCAGCACCCTGCAATTCACAGTGGCTCTGCAGACCCTGCCTCTGTCGTTAGGACCATGTGTCCATGCTGGTGCATTACCCCAACAGACTATGAGTTAGGCTGGAGGCAGGGTGGCCTCCCAGACTGGGTGGCTCCTCAGAGAGGGCCCCGCCTCTCAGAAGCCCCATGAGAGCTAGTAATTACAGACAGATAAGGGAAGGTGTTTTAGGGAGCAAGATTAGTCAGTCAGCAAACACTACTGTAGGTTCTTCTACAAATCCCTTTTTAGTTATAAAGTTTCAGCTGTCCTCTGACCCCTACAGGTGTCCTGTGGCATACACCCCCAAAGAATAAATAAATAAATGTAATTTTAAAATTTGAGGTATCCCCAGTAGAGAGAACCCTGAGCTTGGAGGTGTCTTGCTGGATACCTGGGGGGGGGGGGTGTCTCTGGGCTGAGTGAGCCAGAGGCCCCTCAGCCACACATCCACTTGGTACTTTACCTGCATGAAGCTACCTACTTGGATGGTGGGCCACCTCTCTGACAGCCCATCACAGGCAGGAGGGCCACAGACACTCTAGTCCCAGGACCAGGTCACATGCTGACTCCCAGCCTCCATTCCCCACTTCTGAATATCACCAGCCATGACATAAACATGAATTTCTTTAAGGCCAAGTACAAAAGTGGTCCTTTGCAATCCACAGTACCCGAGAGGGTAAGACAGGAAGGTCAGGGTTCACAGCCTACAGGCCAGTCATGGCGGTGCACACTTTGATTTATTTATTTATTATGTATACAGTGCTCTACCAGCATGTATGCCTGCAGTCCAGAAGAGGGTGCCAATCTCATTACAGATGGTTGTGAGCCACCATGTGGTGGCTGGGAATTGAACTCAGGACCTCTGGAAGAGCTGTCTGTGCTCTTAACCTCTGAGCCATCTCTCCAGCCCCCAAGGAGATCTTTATGTGTAGTGAGATAGTCACTTTGTCCGCACCTGCGGCAAAGACCACGCCCATGCTGTTTCTGTCCTCGCTGCACCTTTTGGAAGTTGCCCATCTGCACTTCCTGTCTACCCTAGTATCATTTTCATTCTCAGGTCTTGATGAGGTTGGAGATTAAACTATCACAACCATTATTCTCTCTTCCTAGTTAGATATATTAGGTACTAGACTTAAGCTTTCCAGCTTAGGACAATTCTATTGTAAACCCTGTTTCGACTTCACCCTAGGACTAGATAGTTAGGTCTTAAGTTTGTTATTGATTTTCCTTTTCTTAGAGCACACTTGTTATTCACTGTTTTGTATATAGTTTTGTTTCAAGCCTAAATTTGTTCTTTAGACTTAAAAGGGAATTGTAGTGAGCGATTCCATACCCATTGGGGTGGAGACAGGGGCACTGGTCACATAGGGGAACTAAGTCTGAGGAGGGGCTCTGAGAGCTCTCTTGCTAGCAACACGGGGACAGTACATCCAGAGGCATCTTTGGGACCAGGAACCTGCTGGTGTTCATCTGTCTGTGTTGTGAGTTATTTCTCCCTAAATAAACATCTATTCGGCCTATTTGTTTCTTCTGATCCTTATTAAACATCAATATCTATGCCTTTTGGTCTACAGAGTCAGTTCAGGCCAGCCAGGGCTACAGGTTAAGAGCACTCAGAGGGCCTGGAGTTTGGTTCCCAGCACTACACACTACATGGAGACTCACAACCTTGGTAACTCTAGTCCATATCTGCTGCTGCCTCTTCTGACAGACCGGGCATGGAAGTACAGATACAAGGGCAGGCAAAACATCCATATACAGGAGACAGATCAATCTTAGCAGCAGCAGCAAGAGCATAGCCAGCCTCAACTTCTGAGTTCAAGGTCAGCTGAAGGAAAAATAGCTTTTATTTTACGTGTATGGTGTTTTGCCTGCCTATATGAACTGCATGTGTGGTGTTTTGCCTGCCTATATGAACTGCATGTGTGGTGTTTTGCCTGCCTATATGAATTGCATGTGGGGTGTTTTGCCTGCCTATATGAATTGCATGTGTGGTGTTTTGCCTGCCTATATGAATTGCATGTGTGGTGTTTTGCCTGCCTATATGAATTGCATGTGTGGTGTTTTGCCTGCCTATATGAATTGCATGTGTGGTGTTTTGCCTGCCTATATGAATTGCATGTGTGGTGTTTTGCCTGCCTATATGAATTGCATGTGTGGTGTTTTGCCTGCCTATATGAATTGCATGTGTGGTGTTTTGCCTGCCTATATGAATTGCATGTGTGGTGTTTTGCCTGCCTATATGAATTGCATGTGTGGTGTTTTGCCTGCCTATATGAATTGCATGTGTGGTGTTTTGCCTGCCTATATGAATTGCATGTGTGGTGTTTTGCCTGCCTATATGAATTGCATGTGTGGTGTTTTGCCTGCCTATATGAATTGCATGTGTGGTGTTTTGCCTGCCTATATGAATTGCATGTGTGGTGTTTTGCCTGCCTATATGAATTGCATGTGTGGTGTTTTGCCTGCCTATATGAATTGCATGTGTGGTGTTTTGCCTGCCTATATGAATTGCATGTGTGGTGTTTTGCCTGCCTATATGAATTGCATGTGTGGTGTTTTGCCTGCCTATATGAACTGCATGTGTGGTGTTTTGCCTGCCTATATGAATTGCATGTGTGGTGTTTTGCCTGCCTATATGAATTGCATGTGTGGTGTTTTGCCTGCCTATATGAACTGCATGTGTGGTGTTTTGCCTGCCTATATGAACTGCATGTGTGGTGTTTTGCCTGCCTATATGAATTGCATGTGTGGTGTTTTGCCTGCCTATATGAATTGCATGTGTGGTGTTTTGCCTGCCTATATGAATTGCGCTGTACGAGTGCTGGTGCTGACAGAGGAGGGTGCTGGATCCCCTAGAATTGGAGGTAAGCGTGGTTATGAGCAGCTACATGGGTCCTTTGGAATAGAGCCAGTATTCCTGATCACTGAGCCATCGCTATAGTCCCCAGCTGAGGGAACTCAGGGAGACCCTGTATCAAAATAAAATGTAGAAAGAGGGCTAAGGCTACATATAGCTCAGCAGAAGAATTCTGCCTAGCATGCCTAAGGCCCTACCCGTTCAGTGTCCACCACTATGGAATAATTTAAAAAGGGTATATGCCAACTGCAGCCTGGAGCTGAAAGGTAAGGGCAGGGCAGGAAGTAAAAGGCTCCTAGGGCCCAGGCCACCCTGGTCACGATGGTCTCCTGCCCTCCACTCTTTGTCCCAGTCGCTACTTCTTTCTCCAGCACATGGCAGCCCAGAAAGCCAAGCTGTTTGATGAAATGGCAGCTGCAGAGGGCAGCTTGTTCACGACTGAATCTCTGGCCTCTGCAACCACACTGAGCAAACAGTACATGCTTCCCCAGTTAATCAGAGCCACGCCCCTGGTCACCTGATCTGTCCATGGAGCCAAACCTCCACTTCTACTTGCTCCTATAATGTCCCGGGGGTCCCAGGAAGGCCTCAAAGTGTCCTGTTCCAGGGGCCTGTTCCAAGAACTCAGAAATGGTCTCCTTTCAGACACTGAAGCACCCTGATAAGCACCCTCTACCCACTCTCACCAAGCTGGTTCTCCGCGGGCTTTGCCTTCTTCTACGATCTTATCCAGGGAGTTCAAGACAGCTTCTAGGTTCCCCTCCTCTTTTATTTCTGAGATTTCCTCCTGGGCAGAAGGGAAAACAGCTGTCATGACTTCATGCATGATCTCAGCGGAAACATGCTGAGATGCTGGTAGCACTGAGGAAGATTTTGGCTAATTTCTATCATCCTCTTGAATAGTCCCATTTCTCTACAATGTGTAGTTTTTAGAATTAATACAAGGGAATACAGAATAGCAAACACTGAAAAAGAACCTGCACACTAGGAGTGGAGTGGTAGCAGATGTCTTTGATCCAGCACTCCAGAGGCAGAGGCAAGCATATCTCTCTGAGTTCAAGGTCAGCCAGGGATACAACAGAGCAAACTCTGGACACTGCAACTCGCTTGTCGCCATGCCAGGCACCTGTTGTTAATAAGACCATCCTGGAGCAACAGCTCAGACAGGTGATATCCTAGGAACATCATGGGAACTTTTATTTCCTTCTTGAGAAGGTTCTTACTGTGTAGTCCTGGCTGGCCTTGCACTCCCAGAGATCCACCTGCCTCTGCCTCCAGAGTCCTGGAATTAAAGGTGTGTGCCCCCATGCTGGGGAATCATCACAGACTTAAGACATGAGTGGAGCAGAGCCCTGTCCTTTCTGGCATTCCCAGTAATACTCAGTTTATCAAGTGTGTCTTCAGAAGCTGGAGGTGCAAAGTGAATGAGGCCTGCCTGGCCCTGGTGGAGCTCACACTGCCTTGGCTGGCAGACAACTTATAAACAGTTATATCACAGGATGGCGAGAGAAGGCAGCATTTAAGACATATATTGGCCAGGTGGTGGTGGCGCACACCTTTAATCCTGACACACAAGAGGCAGAGGCAGGAGGATCTCTGAGTTCGAGGCCAGTCTGATCTACAGGATGAATTCCAGGACAGGCCCCAAAAGCTACAGAGAAATCCTGTCTCAAAAAACAAACAAAGACATACATTGTTGGGAGGGTAAGGGTGCCCGGCACTGCAGCTGCTGCACCGGATGGCAGCTCTAGGGGCAGAGCAGACAGGGACAGCAAATAGGCTGTCAACTTTAGGGAGCTGAGTGTAGAGTGTAACATAAGCAAAAAGGATCTTCTGGCCATTTGTGCCACTTACCCGGATGGATGTCTGTAACTGAGCCACAAACTTGTCATAGACCCACTTTGTCACCTCAGGATCCAACTGGTGGAAGTGTTTGTAACAGCTGGTGAATCTCTCGTAGCTGTTGGGAGGGAGACAAGCAAACATAGGGTGATCGGCCCCCAGCTAGTCACCTTTGTCTTCAGGTAACAGGTAGGCTGCTTCTACTCCAAACTAGGGCTCTGGCAAAATTTACAAATGGGTTATGGGGCTGGAGATGTAGTTTAGTTGGTAGAGTGCTTGCCTAACATACATGAAGTCATGATTTGATTCCCTACTGCATAAAACCAAAAAACACGTTTATAATCCCAGCACTTGAGAGATGGAGGCCATACGGTCAAGAGTTCAAGGTCAACCTCTGCTACACAGTCTCAGTGTTCTATTGCTGTGAAGAGACAACGTGACTAAACACAGTCTTATGAAAGAAAGTATTTAATTTAGAGCTCATGGTTGCAGGGGGTAGTAGAGTCCATGACCATCATGGTGGGAAGCAGACAGCAGAGAAAGACATGGGACTGGAATCCCACCAAATGGGAGACAGAGGCAGGCGGATCTGAATGAGTTCCAGGACACTCACGGCTATACAGAGAAATTCTGCCTCAAAAAATACGCCCCACAAAACCCCTCCAAGTCCACCCCCAGCGTCACACCTTCTAATCCTTCCCAAACAGTTTCACTAGTGGGGACCAAGCATTCAAACAGAGAAGCCTATGGGGGGCCATTATCATTCAAACCACCCCACGTGAGTATGACCTGAGTATGCCCCCCAAAGGCTCCAGAGTTGGTGGAACTGTGAGAAGGATTAGAAGTGTGAACTTGTTGGCGGAGGTCTGTCACTGGGGAAGTCCACACCAGTGTCTCTCCCTGCTTCTTAGTTGTAGATCAGGATGCAAGCTCTCAGGCAGCTACAGTAGCGTCATGCCTGCGTGCCTGCTGCCATGTTCCCTGACATGATGGTCACGGACTCCAACCCTCTGAAACTGTGAGCCCAAATTAAATCCTTTCTTCTATCAGTTGCTTTGGCCATGATGCTTTGTCACAGCAACAGGGAAGTAACTAAAACATCACTGAACCACCACGATGACCTTTTATTCATTTTATTGTGTATATTTCAATAGGGTCTTGTGTAGCTTAGGCTGCCCTCCGCCCCCCTCCCCATGAGTGAGAACATGCATGTGGCATCTGTCTTTCTGGGTCTGGCTTACCTCACTCAGCACCTTTTCTTTTTTGTGGGGACAAATCCTAGTGGCCAGTTCCTGCTCTGGATTGTTTCTTCACATTGTAAGCTAAGCACCTGCCTTTCAAGGGGAAGAAACTTCTCAGCTCTGAGAAGCCAGGTGGCTGACAGTGTTAGGCCCTACAGTATGGACCTGTTTAGGGAGGTTTCTGTGTATGAGGCAGATCCTTAGCGCTTCAGGGATGCAGGAGTATTCCATCCTGAGAGCAATTTGGACAGTACAGATGCTGCTGTTCCACTCAACAAAGGAGGAAACAAGGCTTATGGAAGTGAAGAGGTTGCCTAGACCACTCAACCAAAGATCTACAGAGGCAGGACTTGAACTCAGGCAGCGTGTCCTTACAAGCCAGCATGCTCTTCCAGGGTAGAACTGGCTGGCCTCCTGTACACACGGTGAAGGTCAAAGCCAACACCTGCTTTGTCTCAAGGAGAAAGGAAACACAGAGAGGTCATGGGAGCTTGAGCAGAAGGGCTCTCCACTCAAGCAGACCTGAGGGCCAGGGTCGGGAGGCAGCTGGGAGTGGAACAGGCTGGCAGCCAGGCAGCCCGGGCCATACCTCCACCCCAGTTGCCTAGCTTTCAGAGATTCCATACTGTTTTGTTGCTGTCTGCTGTGGGGCACCCAGGTTCAAGCACTCCTTTCCACAAGGGTATTACAGTGTTTATAAGATAGTATAATTTTATGTTTGGCCAACACATGGCCATGAGCATTTTCTAAAACATCACTTTCCTTTCCTGAGTGTAGTTTTCAAGAAATCCACAAGTGTTCGTTCCAGCCATTTCCACACAGCTGATGGAAATCACCCAACATCAATGGGGGGGGGGGCAGAGGACAGAGGAGAGAGAAAGGGAGAGAGAGGGGAAGGGGGAGAGAAAGGAAGAGGAAGAGAGAAAGGGAGAGAGAGAGAGACTACATTCCAGTGTCGTTCTGTGCTGTTAGTGTTGGCGCCTGCTCTGACTACCTTCCTGCCTAGCTTGGCTACCTTGGGACTCTGTAGAAAAGTGTCCCTCCTTGTGAAATGAGCATGTTTCTGGGGTCCTTCACATTTACAGACTTCTTAATAACAGGACCCCGGAAGAGGGCTCAAGTGGCCCTTGTGGGCAGAGTCTGCTCCATCTTCCTTGGGTCCTATCCACTAGTAGAGCTGAGGAGAGGTGCGCCCGGCTTGACCCGGGTGCCTGAGTGGGCTGTGGAAAGGAACAGGATCTCTGGTGTTTAAGCCACAATTACCCTATTTCAATTCCAGCCTACTTGGGCAGCGTCATGTGTCCCTTCACATACCTCTTTGTAGCCACAGACTGAGTGGCTGGTGAGACTAGGAGCAAAACAAGATGCCTGGAACTCTGTTGTGGGCTGTGGGTTGGAAAGGTTCCCAGCATCTGTCCTTTGAATTGTCCTTTTGATATCTGAGCACAGTCACCCAAGTATACTGAGACAAAATGTTTACCCTTAGATGGTGGGAGTCTGTCACATTGCCCATTGCCGCATTCAAGGGAGCACGTGTTTGCTGCCATCTCTCCCTCCCTACTGGCAGATGCAGGAGGCTACACCATTGCCTAGCGAGCTTCCAATTTACGGTAAACGCCCAGACAATAAATACATCTTGAAGAAAAATGGTCTGAAAGAGACAGACACAAAAGCAAAGGAGACCAAGGATGCAGCTAAGTAGTAGAAGCCCTGGCTTCAGTGGGAGTAGGATAGGGAAGGAAGGCAAGAGTTTTCCACCTCAGCCAAGAAGCCATTGGGAATACAATGAGTAAGTACTCTATGAGTGCACACATGTGCTGGTGTACTATGTGTGTGCATTTGTTCACATGCATATGCATGTGTGATGTAGGGTGTCTTCTATCGCTCTCTGTCCTCCCCCCATGTTTTTAGATTTTACTATTTTAATTTTATATGGATGTTTTCATTGAACATATGTTTGTGCAGCACATACATGCCTGTTGCATAAAGAGACCAGAAGAGGACACGGGATTCCCTGGAACTGGAGTTCCAGATGGTTGTGAACTGTCAGGTGGGTGCCGGCAACCAGACTTTGTATTCTTTGTAAGAGCAGCAGTCTATTTGCTTGTTTTATAGCCTCACCATGTAGTCCACACTGGTCTCAAACTTCTGGGCTTCAGTGACTCTAAGGCCCAGCCTGAAGAGCTGGGACTACAGGTGATACTGCAGGACACATCCCAACATGACTATCACTGCAGCTAGGAGAGTGATTGCCTGGAACGCATAAAGCCCAGGTTCAATCCTGAACTGCATAGATCGGCTGTAGTGCGACGGGCATGTAATCCCAGCTAGCAGGAACTAGAAGCTAGAGGATCAGGAGTTGAAGCTTATCCTCAGCTACATAGGCCAATCTGGGATATAACATCCTCCTGTAAGAGAGAGAAAACCAGCATAGTATACACCTATAAAAAACAAATTATTGAAGCTAGGCGGTGGTGGTTTACGCCTTTAATCCTAGCACTTGAGAGGAAGAGGCAGGCAAGCTCTGTGAATTCAAGGCTAGCCTGGTCTACAGAGCAAGCAAGTTCCAGGACAGGCTCTAAGCTACACAGAGAAACCCTGTTTGGGAAAAATAAAATAAAATAAAATAAAATTACTAAGTAGTGTACACCTTTGATGCCAGCAACCAGGAGGCAGAAGAAGGGGGATTTCTGCATATTTGAGGCTAGCCTGATCTTAATGAGTTCCAGGACTGCCAGGACTGCAGAGATCCTGTCTCAAAACAAAACAATGCAAAACAACATCAACATTTAATTTAAAACCTCATTACTAGGGCTGAGAATAAAACTCGGTAGAATGCTTGCCGAGCACACGCAAGTCCTATGTTTGCCACATAAAACAAAGCATGATGACGGCAAAAGCCTGTAACCTCATCACGTAATAGGCACAAGTAGAAGGCTACTAAGTGACATCCTGTCTCGAATAACAACACCAACAGAGAAGCCAATAAACTAAGCTTTAAACCTGAGTTGAATTTTCTAGTGTTACCAGGAAACTGGAGGTGAGGCCCGGCCTTGGGCTTCCAAAGCTCCTAAACAGAGTTCTCTTAATGCACTGCAGCTTTCTGAATTCCACTATCACAGGTTCACTTTTTCTTTTAAAGTTTCTAGATAAGCCAGGTTGTGGTGGTGCACCCCTTTAATCTCAGCACTCTGGAGGCAGAGGCAGGCAGATCTCCGTGAGTTCAAGTCCAGTCTGTCTACAGAGTGAGTTCCAGAACAGGCTCCAAAGCCACAGAGAAACCCTGTCTCAGGGGGAAAAAAATCTAGATAAAAGTAGCTACCCATAGTTGAGGCAGGAAGATCCCCTGAGCACAGGAGATTGAGGGCAGCTTCGTTCATGAGCACCCTGAGAAAGAGTTCTTCACTCGGGCTGTATCTATAGCCCTTGAAGCCCTGCCCTGCCTCTCTCTTTCTCTCTCTCTTTTTCGAGGCAGGGTTTCTCTGTGGCTTTGGAGCCTGTCCTGGAACTAGCTCTTGTAGACCAAGCTGGTCTCGAACTCACAGAGATCCGCCTGCCTCTGCGTGCTGGGATTAAAGGTGTATGCCACCACCGCCTGGCTTCCTGCCCTGCTCTTAAGAGAAAGCATCTTAATACATACTTAGGTGCCAGCACTCAAAAGCTGGAGCCAGAAGGCAGTGGCATACACCTTTAATCCTAGCGTTCAGAAGGCAGAGGCAGGTGGATTTCCGAGTTCAAGGCCAGCCTGGTGTACAGAGTGAGTTCCAGGACAGCCAGGGCTACACAGAGAAACCCTATCTCAAAAAACCTAAATGGAAAAAAAAAGAAAAAGCAGATTTTCAGTTACATAAGTTTGAAGCAAGCTTGCAGTATACAG